CAAATTTTTCAGTCCAGAGAGAGAACTCGACGGGCTGGAGTTGATCACTGAACCACTGATCCTGGTCACTGATTTCGCTAACCGCATAGACACCACTGGCAATTCTACGGTAGACCTCATTTTCCGGAAAGAGGGACCACTCAGCAAAGTACTCAACAGCCTTTAGGAGAAAAACACGACGCATACGAAAAAAAGAAAAGGGAAACCGCTGCGAAATGAGATATTCAACGAGACCTAGAATAATTCAGACAGGAGGACCTAGCCGTAGGGTATTCAAAGTATACTGCCTACCTGTGTTTTGGCCACGACGATGGTAAAAGGTGACGGCTCCAGTCGTGATTTCATGAAGCGTTCATACTGAAAGGCGACCACCGGCCTCGGATACATGCGCACAGTGCGTGTAAACTCCGTTAAGCCGCCCAGAATATTGGGTGAATGGAAGAAGAGGACCTGCAGCGATGAGAACAGATAAGGAAGAAGGGAAATCCAGGAGGGGACAATATTTGGGAGGCGCTTTTGCGTTTGGTACTGGTTCTAATCAATGATAATTCCAGCAACATTGGAAGAAGGTAGATTTTTAAAATGCCTGAAGACAGGAAAAATGCCGCAATTTGTTTGCCTTGTGAACTCATCGGAGATGACAGCGACAACGGAGCAAACGACAAGTATAAAACAGTGCAATAGATTAACGAGCGCTTTTGCTAATCTAAGGATCCTTTAGACTATAGAGGACTCAAGTCCTTACCTCTACTCGAGACTTCAGGCAACTGAGATATAGCCTGGCTATAGGCCTAAACAATTATCTCCGTGAATGTGCAATTGAAGGTGCGACCTGTGTCGGCGACTTAGATAACAGTTTGGGACAACTGTTTTCTCTCCTGTCGCACTAACAAACGAGCACGTTGCTTACTGCTACGTGTATCACGAAGTAAAGTATTTGCTCCTCCACTATTGATACAGGCGGGGTACTTTTCATCCGCATGCATTTCAGTTGAAGTCTTTTTTTACTTGGCTCTAGAGGAAATCGATAAACGTTCACAATAAATCATCGTCGGAAACTGTAAAAACGCTCTTATGTCGAAGAAATAGTAAATTGGGCAAATACTGGTGAGAGAAGGTTCATCAAGCGACGTCAGGTATGGACTATTACTAAAATGCGCACAGCACTCAAAAACACACCAGGAGGTTGACCCGCCAAGAAGAAAAAATTGCAACAAAAATGACTGTTCGCCAACCTGTGTAGTGAGTTTTGTTCTAAGTTAGAAAGTTTGGTGGGTTTGATAATCTGTTAAGCTCAGAGCATGCGGCGAATGGGAGCTGCTAGGCACCGTTTTTAATAGCCAGCCTTTATCCGCAATTTGCGCAACTGAGAGCAAAGCTGCTAGAGCAGGCCTCGACGCTCAGTGGTGTCCAGCTACGCATTCCGAGGGCCGTACTCAATGTCTTTGCCAGGGACGCAGACCGAACACTGAAGGTCCAAGAATTATATATTTAAAACCAGTTAATTTCCTATTTGAGGCCAGCAGGTCAAAAAAGAGTCCGGTTTAGGGCCTTCGCACATAACACGTGGGCTGGAAAGAGAAGAACTTGCCTTAACCAGCTAAGTCGTCTGTCTTGCTTATCCTCACGACGTTGTTGTAAGGAGTGTGAACTGCCCTATTTCAGACTAAGTCAGTGCAATTTATTTGAACGATGTTCCTCAAGCGAGGGCGGTCAAAATAACTATAGCCTTCTTTAATATTCCATCCGCACTACCTAGCATGCAGAACCGCGTGGAAGGACTGACCGGACGGATGTTCCATACAAGTGGCGTTTTGTGAGAATTAAGGTATCGTGGCGGTTTCGTGGGCGACTTTTAAGGCTTGTTAAATCATGCAAGCAGTACCGATGCTAGAGCAGAGGTCGCCCTTACTCTGTCGATTTGACCATGCATTCGCTTAAGATATCGAAGACCGTCAACTCCTTCAGGTGGACAATAATTAACCCCGAGAGTGCACTCTCCGTGCGGGATTGAAACTCTAAAACGCTTTGTATTTTCCTACCTTCATGAATAGTTCCACCAATTGGTAACGTTCTGTGACACCACACTCTGTAGGTCACCGAAAATTGATTTGGGAAGGGCACTATCGCCAATGTAGCCGAGTTCGATAAGCTGGTTTTTTGGTGCCATATAACAGACAATATATCCTGCCAAGAACTTAGTCACTAACACAGAACGTCTGACGGGTGGGGGGGGGAGTGTTTGTTGAAGATAATAATTAGCGCAGTGATCAAAGGATAGTTGGCCCCGAGCATTTTGGATAACATACCGACCAGTCCCATTATCCGCCATAACCACTCGAGGTGGATTGAATCCTACATGAAGGCAAAGCTACTAAAGCAAACGGATGTCAGGTGCTGATAGCCATAGCGAAATTTCAGAATGTGTCACAGCTGGTAGGTGTGTCTACGCCCAGCTCGGAACATGGTTCTGGTGGGTTTGGTTCTCGATTCACACACATTCTGAAATCGCCCGAGCATGACAACGCTGAAGAACTTCGCACCAACGTTAAGGAAGCTTATGTGACAGTAGTTCCAGCTCTTTGACGGGCACCGAGATAGTCGGGCCTCAGTGAGCTTATACGCACACGCCTGTTGAACCACCTCATGGGGTAAAGACTCTATTGTGCACCAAAAACTTCGCCAGAAATAGCATCATCTCTGTGTGCCTTTTTGTGTAGCATCAGCGCTGCGAAGGGAGGTGGCGATAATATGCTCACATTTGGACAAGCTGTGAACAATAAAGTCGTCATTCACATTGCAAACGCAGTCACTCGGTATAAAACTACCAAGGCAAATAATCGGGTAGTTATTGAGGATCGCGGAAGATTTTGTTCTGTTTTGCTGAGGTCGCTGTTTCAGTTTAATGTTGTTTGTGGCCACCTCTCAGTTGACCCTGTCGTCATGTTTCGGAAGGAATCTCCACCTGAAGACAGTTTTCTGAACATAGGACAACATGGCTCTTTGGCTGATTCAGTTACTATGGAGCAATCGTATGAATCTAAAAATTATCTGCCCTGCCTCGGAGACCAACAACTTCAAAGATGACAATTTTCATTGTCTTTTCTTCCCCTTCAAGGTGGGCGGAAGACGTGTGATCGACGGACTTGAAAAAAGACGAACGACTACGACACTAGACCATGGCCTGAAGTATAACAGACCAAGGTGCAAGTACTAGACGTAAATGGGTTATTTAATAGCAAGTTTCTTTTAACTTCGTCTAAGTATTCCCGTTTGAAGCCTTCTAACTGCTTAGCTGAGTAAATGCAGTCGATTATGTTAAAACAAATCTCAACGGCATATGGAGCACAAAGCGAAAGAAACGTAAACAAACACTGAAACATGGTGCAGAAGGGACGAGAGCAAACAAACACAAGCACTGACATAGTTTAAACATTTGTGCAGTGAAATACTACTACGGCAGACTGCCGTTTCCAGAGCATACCATAGCTACCCTGATGGCAACGTTGATAGAGTCCTGGTTGGCTTCAAATGACAGAGGATCAAATCCTTCATGAGAGTCCAACGGCTCTGAGCTCTGGGGCTTGACGCTGTCCAGTTCCAGATTATCATCTAGAGCATCCAGAGCCTAGGACCAAGGTAGATCAACGATGAGTAAATGTGCTTGTTTTCAACATATGGTGAACGACTGCAGAAGTAACTCTTGCTCAATTTCCATGTGTACAAACGAGAGAAAATTAAAGCAAATTTTGAAAAGATCTGTGTGACTACTGCCAGTTCAAAAGACGTCATTGGAGAAGTTAAACTGGGGTGGGTGAGACGCCTGAGTGTTTAAAAAATGGCACAGTCCTGCGTGGGATAGGGAAAAAAATGGGCAAAGCTGTTATCTACAAACAGACAGAACGCCGCGTCAAGTGACAAGCGAAACAGAAAGTAAAGGGTGAGGACAGGAACAGCGAGTCGGGTGCTAACCAAAATCAGGAACAATAGCAAACCCATAAGCGTGAAAGCAGCAAACAGATAAAAATCGGAACACTCGCGAATCTAGATGTCCCAATGGAAATCGTTTTCGGGGGAAATTTACAGGGTGACGATTTATGTGAGCAGGCAGGGTTGTTTAAGTAACATTAACCCATGAGAGCATAGCTGCTGTGCAACGTATACGAAAAATATCGTGGCAGGTAAACTGTTTTAAAAGCATCGAAAACTGTCAAGGGTGCCGGTGAAAGTTACGCCTATCTGTGGATGTATCAAAATGATGCACATTATAACTATTGGAACTCCAGTAATTGCAATCCAAGATGTTGTAGATAATTGGCAGCAGGGCCAATTTGCCTTGCAACCAACAGCTACAGTAACTGGGCTATCCCAGGAAATGTTAACCCAAATTCTGAAATGGATTGTGGACTTAGAGAGGATTGCGTAGGTGGGGTTTTTAGATTGATTTACGTTCAGCATAGCTCCTAAATATTTCAGTCACGCCAGGGGGCCGGCTTTCAAACGAGCATCTTTGTGGCAACCCGAATATAAAGCATTCGGGAAAAAGCAGTGCTTAGGTAGTACAAATTATTCCCATCCATCTTTAAGAACCTTACAGATTCAAAGACATCCTGTAACAAATATGTGCTAGATATTCTTTCTTGTTCACATTTGGCAGAGATTTGCACCTCCTTTTAATTTTTTACCAGCAGGAATGGTATTTTTTGCTTTTAAAAAGGGGCCTTTATGAGATTTTTCAGATCGTGAGATTTCCATTCATATAGCATAGCACCAGCAGGCTTATTAATACTGTTTAGAAAGTATGCAACGTGGTCCACATCCATCATAAACTTCCCGTGAGCCCTGTATAATAACTTCTTAATGGCGTACAGAAAGTATAAGTGTACATCATGGTGTGTAGGTGGGGTTCACTATTATTCGCAAATGGAAAACTTCAGTTAAACCCAAAAATACCTTTCCTTCGACATTAAAACTCCGACAAGGCGCGATTCTCTGCCAAATGGGATCGATAAATAACGTTTTGTGGCCCTTTTCCATAAAATATATAGGGCATAGAAAATCATTGGGAAAAAAATAAACACTTCTTCAGTTTCAAAAGTTCCCATCAAAGAATTCGTAGGGGGCAGCAGGCTCGACTCCAACCTCGTCAAGCACTGCATTTGCGCAGTAACCGTGACTTTGTCTTGTCGATAGAACACTCTAAGTGTGGAACTGGAAAAGGAAGTAGGTGACGAGCATGCCTACTTAACTACAAACCAATTCACTCGTAGGTTATCCGTTGGACCCCTTGGTTCAGTTATCGACGTCGACTTAAAAGGCCGCGGTATCAACGTACGGAAGATAAAGGAAAGTTGGGTCTCAAAGGCTATCGGTGGCAAGATGTCATAAGAGCTGGAGGGATACATGACGGGTCAAATTGTTGCGCTGTCCACAACAAAGCGACCCTCGGAACAGCCATGAAGTCAGTCTGGCGGATATGCTTCATCGAAAAGGCTAACACCTGGAACGCAAGGTTCTGAGTGATCAAGGTGTCACTAAGGTGAAAATCTAGTAGAGAATGAACCGAAATATTTTCGCGACAGACGACAAGGAGTTAGATAGTACGAAGTACCGGTTGTTTAAGGGACCTGTAGACGGCTTGGTGCGGAACGGAAAAGGCGCATAGGAGTACAGGAAAGTTTGGACAAGACTTACCTCGGCTCTTTGTAGAATCTAAAAAGTAGAAAAATGTGAAATTTATACATAGTATTAGGACTGGCAGGACTCCAGCAGCTGCATAGTAGCCTAATTTAAAGGGGTTACTTGTTGAATCTGTTGAAAACTGGGCTTTATGCTGGTGGGATCAAACAAAAATTTGCTAGCCTTATAACCTCTCATGTGAGTACAACAATTTTGTTTTCATTAGGTCCCGTTATACAACTTGACTAAATTCCTGAATGACCACGCAATGAAAGTAAACTCAGCTTTGTAGATAGTGATGGCAGCCAGTCCACAAATCTGTTATTTTTGCACAACTGTCGGAACTTATGCGTGAACTGACAAAAACCACTTTTTGAAATCAGCAATGCTTTACAGCACTAAGAAAGAAGTTTACATTTATATTGAAAAAAAATTTTTCCGTTGAGAATCGTAGGCAGAGTATGGGATTCAGGAGGAGGGACCGAATGAAAAAGTGCGGCAAAAGTTTCAAGAATACGGACTAGATGTAAATAAATTCTGTCAACGACACATCGAAAAGAGTCGTATAATAAAATTATTTGCAGAAAGATTAAGTAAAAGGAGATGAAGGTAGTTCTGGTTTGTAGCAAAGGAATTTAGTATTCGGAAGATAAATATGGCCCGATTTTCTTTTTACTGGATATAGAATTTCCCGTTTCTGAAGAACACAGTTAGCTACCTTGTTTAGATTTTCCATCAGAGCCTTCTCCTCAACGACTGGCATTTTTGGGATTGTGTCCTGGGCGGTCGTACCGTAGAACTGGAAAAAGACAGGGGAAAATAGCCAATAAGAATACGACAACAGTATTTGTCTAAAATGAATAAGTTCTCACAACATGTGCGAATATGCGAAACATGAACACGGCGAAGTTTCGAACACACATTTACATAATGATCGCGGTGCATTTGCCTATATTGTCAAATTTTGGGATTCAGCCAGGGAGAAGGTTTATGTGTAAATGGAAATTCTAAGAAGTTCATATTCAGAGAGACTAAAGGAGACTAATTTTTGCCCTCCTGACCAGAAAACGTGATGCTGTAAAGAATAAACGGTAGTGATTACTCATACAGCCACGCCAGGAAAAGGGACCAGGAATCACCCGCGGTATAGGTGGTTTGGCGCTTAGTGCTAAGGAAGGTGGGGTCTTCAGTAAGGCGTACTTTTGGGAGATGGTAAGATTAATGTTAGGGGGCAAAATTAGTGTTAAGGGTAGAGTTAAGCTAAAGATTGGGATAAGGGCAAGTGTTAGTGAAAATATATACCCTTCCTGGGATTTTCCACAAGGCAACTTTTATTAGGTGGGGGCGTACGTGTTCCAATGCTCTGTCGAATACAAGCCATATAAGCAACTTAGACTGATTAAATTACTAAGACGAATTCAGGGGACTTTTCTGCAAGTACTTTCAATAGGCGTCAGTTTGTGTTACTAAGGCAGCCCGCCGCCATTCAGTTAACAAACATAAAATTCAAAGTGCTGCCAAGCAGAACTCTAACGGTGGTACGAATTCGGGTTCGCCGGAATCTTTTCACATAAAATAATGTTTTTTAGGTTTATGGTGGCTACGGTTTTGTATGGCCATTAAAATCTCAGCTGAAGTAACAATTTTCCGGCGAGGGTGTTATCAATTATGTAAATGCCAGTCACTTAAAACGCTTACATCAGATGTTTTGGGGGAGAGAGGATGTGCAAAAAGCTGTTTTAGTTGTTTTGGTTATGTTTGAAGTAGCAGGTAGATTGCCATACATTCAACAGCGGCCGGCTTACCTCTTGAGTGTCCAAGTCCACAAGGAGGACATCTCTTGGAAGTTTGAAGGAGAAGCGTGAGTCAAGAAAACTTCGTGGTAGACCAATAATGTAAGGTGATGGTGCTTGAAGGAGCTGGCAGGGAGGAAAATAAAACAAATAAATCCATCAGGCGCTAGGTCAATATTGTATCAGCTTGTTGTGATGAAATTCTACGAAATAAGGTACTCCAGTCATCGCCTCGGGTTGCGCGATTGAACTGAAGTTTGCAGAGGAACGACTAATAAATTTGGCAGAAGCTCAACTACTTGCGTGGAATCAAATACCTGGCTGTTGATTGGTAAGCCGTGGATGAGTCTTACTTGCC